CATGTTCTTCCAATAATTAACGAAAACATAAATGAAAATCATAACAGTTTATAATTACCCATATGCACTCAAAAAATCTACATGAATGAAAAATGTAAAAGGATCATAAAGATAAAGTATAAAAACATTAATAATTTTTTTTTGAAAAAATAAATGATTACAAATAATGAAACTAAATGTTGGTAAAATTTGTTTATAAAAGTGTCTATACTTTAAGAAAATAAAAAAAATAAATGAAATCATAACACAATGTATATTCTATATTTATCAATTGATCAATTAAATCGAAGTTAAGCATTGCCCATGAATCAGAGAATAAATAAAATTTTAGTAGTTGGAAGAAATCTATAAAATAGGGTGATCTCATCAAGATTCTAATTTTTTTTATATTGTTATCTTATGCAAAAAAAATAAAACATGTTAGTTGTTTCCATTCACGTAGACTCATAAGCTATTAGTCATCATTATTTAATTTTGTAGTGCCAAAATGAGCTAATTCTAAAACTACTTTTATTAAATTGTCAATTAATGGCAAACAAGTAAATTGAGAATATTGACACCACTTTTTTATCCTCTTTAACCAACAGCCATACTAGCATTCTCAACTTACAAAGTAGCTTTCATCCCCAACAAAAAGATGAAAGCACTATAAGTATTTTTATAATTTTAGCCATGATTACACACAAAAGAAAAAGAGACAAAACATATTCAAATATACTTACCGAAAAGTAAAATAATAAGTAGATTCATGCACTGAATATAGTCCATTAAATTAACCAACACTATACAAATTCAAATATACTTATTCTAAGAAAAAAAGGGGCCCTAAAAGACCCTAGCCGATAGTCATACTATCATTATCAACTTACAGAGTATCTTTCATCCTCAACAAAAAAATGAAAGCACTATATGTATTTTTGCATATTTAGTCATGATTACATGAAACAACACCCAAAAGAAAAATAGCGACAAAACATATTCAAATATACCTACAAAATATATAGTTTCAACTCGAGTTATGCCTATATGAATAACCATCTCGGCACCAACCAATTAACTCAACATGTCCACAAGGACAAACTAGACTAAATCCTCACAAGCTACATCCTTTTTCACAGTTTGGGACTTAATCTTCTAACAACCAAAATTACAAATAGTGAATTCAAATATAAAAAAAATTCTACAAAAAGATGAAAATTTTCTTTAAAAGATTAAGAATTTCTAAAAACAAAAAACAATTATGCCGAAAGATTTCTAATATGATAGGACATGTAAATTCATTGTCCATATGCTTATAATCTGAAAATAATATTTGGAATACTGTAAAAAATTAAATAACTATATATGTCATTGCAAATTAATTAATAAATTATACATAAATTATATCTAGTCTAGTTGTTCGCAAATTATACTATCCTAACAAAAACTTAAAAGTATTCAGCAAAATTTGGTGGGTTCTAAAATATCTTGACATCTTGCTGCATCTTCACGTAGTTCAAAATTGGGAAACCGAGAGAGAGCGTAAAATCTCATTTGGTTTCTATCACCCAAAAAAATTAAGAAAAAGTTCAAACTTACTATTAAATTGGCGCCAAAGAATATAATGAATGAGGGCAACATGGAGGAGGAATTAGGCGAAGGATTGAGCTCAGTATAGATCGATGTACAGTTGAAGAAATACTTGAGGTGTTGTTGGTATTTGAAAGTAGGAGCTTTTTAGAGTAAATTTCGGGTGGAGATGGAGAGGGGAGTTGTATTTGAATTTTTTTAAAATGAAGATGCAAGGAGATTATATAAGATATTTTATTTATTATATTTTTATATTATATTTTATTTATTATATTTTTATATTATTTAATAAATATTACTAATATATTAAATTAACTATAATATAATATAGTATATATAGTATAATATAATAAGCATGTTAATAATAACTCTATATTAATTATATTTAATATATTATGTTAGATATTATATTAACATCTTCTCAAACTCAAAATCAAAACATCAAACTTAAAACACCTAAAATGTGTTTTGAAATAAGTGTTGTGTTTTTGGTTTGAGGATGATTTAGCTCAAAAATGACCATGGTTTTTAAACGCATAGTGTTTTATTTTTGGTAAAAACACCATGAAAACAAATACAACACCCTGATATCCAAACGAAACCTTAAGTAATATAAGGGTTTCAAAGTATCTGCTTACGTAAGGCATGCGTGAGGATGAGGAGACGACGAATTTTACCTGTAACTTGCCCACTCAAAACACCATACAGATTGCGGGCCAATTTGGGCTTTTAGTTAATGTGGCCTACAGTAGACAGTGACCACAGTGGCATCCAGTTAGGAAACAGAAATACCATCACAATCATTAATTATACATCCGTGACATGATGCTGTTCTTCCGCCTACAGTTCTCACTGTTATTGTTCCCTGTGATTGATCATACTTTTTAAGCATCCGTCATGTTTAGACTTTAGAAGGTCACTGATACGTATGATGCCACATCGACTTTCCAGGATAGGAAAAGATCAGAGGATCTACCATTCATTTAGAATTTAACGCATAGATAAGTATATGATCTCATGGGTCACTGTATATATGCTTAATTTAGTTTTTCATAGAACAAGCAATAGATTTCCTAAAAGAAAAAAGAATTCCTCAAAAAGAAATCATGTTGGTAAACTTCCCTATTTAATACAAGGTTCGATCAAATATGAACAGATCGAGAAAGAAAAAGAAAAGATTTATCCTCTCCTATTTGTTTTTTAAAATTTTGCGCTCGAAAAGAAGTATAAGCAGCATTTTTTTTCTTTAAAAACCAGCTCCCCTCCAAACATAGCTATCAATTCATTAGGTGGCGGACTAGTGATTAATTGCAAAGTTTTGGCACTAACAGCGTGTCTTCGTGTTTTCACAAATAAAATTAAACGGTGAACTAAACATTATTTAAGCTTTAGTTTTGGGACAAAATATAAGCTCTCTAATTGACATTAGTTCTAAGTAGAAAGCTAAACAGTGTTAATAATAGAGGACAGTTAACCTTTGCGCTAAATATTACTTGACTATAGTTATGAGACTAGAAGGGGACTGGATCTCGGATTGATACCCAAAGCGGGGGTCAACTAGTAACTTGTCCTTTGCATGACTTGCACTAGTGAGCTGGATTTTAATTTTCAGAGTTTAAGGAAACTGGTTTGCAATTTTACGGATTCACTTTCTGTTCTTTTTTTTTCCGGGTGCAGTTTCAGATTTTTGAGGATCTGGTTTACCTTTTGCGAATTTTTAAGAGATTGTTTTCCTAATTTTTGGGTTTTACCCTTCTTTTTTGTAATTTTCGGATTTTAAGGGTTGGCTTCTAATTTTTCAGAACCTTGTTTGAAATTATGACATATTGATTTGTGGCAGGATAATGATATTCGTAGGCCTAGGAGATTGATTCCTGTGTTGGGTATCAAACCGAAATCTCAGTTTTAGGCTAGTGCCAATCCTATGGTCCAGTAAATGTGGAATTAATCCCTAATCCCAAGATGATTAATACCCAATGCTCATCCTAGGATAAAGTAAACAGTGTCTAAGTAAACTTGTTTGTATGGTTTTCCAGCACTAGTCATATATTAGCTTAGACATATAGCTTGGATTTTCCCCACTTTATATGAAAAGCAGTAGAGAGATCACTAAGATATCACAATTGTTGAGTGGATAATTATTATTTATCTTTGGGTGTAAATTATAAAAATAATCCAATTCATGAAGGTATGCTGAGTATTAAATATGAAATGAATTTAACCGTCCGCTATGTAAATCGAATGCTATTGTTAATGTAGTGATATTCTACTATTTTGTTGATAGCGGAGAGGATCCAAATCCACAGATATAAGCCAAAATAGATACTATTTTACACAGATATGCATATGACTCAATAACAAGATTCATATAGGAATCTTTCAAATGATAGGAAACATTCGATGAGTTATCAGATTGTCGCGCAACCGGAGAGAGTCCAACAATCTAAAATGAATTAATGACCTACTTTCAGATGGAAACATGGTGTGTAACGTGTTGGATGTTGATCACATAATCAACTCGGTTTGATTAATAAAAAATGTTCATATATATATTGATGGTGTTTTCGAGATGAAGTGTGCAGGTTACATAAGTTCACAGTTAATCCTAAAAAATATTAGAATCTAAAATTAATTTTGAGTATATGCTATGTCCGTCTCTCAAAAAAAAGTATATGCTATGTCCGTCTCTTTGTTAAAAATCTAAAGAAGCAAACAAAACGGGATTTAGAGGCTGAATTTTTAACTAGCAGGCTGATAACACACACACATAGAGTATTGAGAACTTGCATAGGCTACAACTTTTAACTCAGTTATAAGAATCGCTATTATAGTATATTTTCAAAAATCTATCTATGCGCTCTATAAGATGAAACATACATTCACAGGTTGATACAAAAAGCAGCCAGCTGGAAGCTTCGAGCAAGTTGCTGAAAGCTACTAGACAGAAAATAGACTTTTCGAAATAATGTCAGAAGGGGCTAAAATTTGTTATCAGACGGATAGACCATGACCACCCGGCTGAACAACTTGAGCAATAGGCTGGTCGACTTATTCTAATAGACTTCATTAGATTTTTCAAGATCTAATTTGAGTCGTTCTTTTCACTGGTGGAGATTAGACCATTGTAGACGGCACGTCCTAGACAGCCAAATATCCGTCTAGGATGATTTATCATAGACGGATTTAAACCGTCTAAAAATAATCATCTATTAGTATACATGTATCCTAGACGACAAATCCGTCTAGGATGTTATTCTAGATGGCTTATCTTTTTAAAAAGTATGGGTACCACTATCCTAGATGGCTAAGTCATCTAGGATGTGAAATGAAATTTTAGCGGACCTTCAAAAATCACCCACTGTTTTTTCACCTGAGATTTTATCTTTTTACCATACATGCTTTTACCCTAGCCTTTTCGCCCACTATTCTCACTATAGCCCTCTCCGCTTGTCAATAAAGTTCGTCGAAGGTCTTGCCCTCGTCGAAGTTGTCAAAGATCTCCACTTCTTCTCATCGCCGACTCTAGTAGTAGAAGTTCGTCGCCGCTTCTTCTCATCGTCAAAGTTTGCCATTCCTGAGTCGATCTCGCCGACATGTACATCAGATCTGACATCATATTTGGAAATAGTTAGTGAGTGATGGAACTATGTTTTTGTACTCGATGGGAAGGTTCCAGCTATATTCAAACATTGGAGACATTAACTGAAGCATAATGTAAACAAGAAATATGCATATGATTGACAAAGGATTTATCTTCTCGATCCTAGGGTGGATCAATTTCATTTCACAGTGCTTCTCATCTACTGGGACACTAAGGTAGCGGAAGTAAGATTTTAGTTCTGTCAATTTTAACATTGTACTTTTATTATATGTATTTCTAAATTTTTTTTCTTCAGACAACAACTTTCAATGGACATGCTAATCCGTTATGCTGCAAGTACGACCACCACATGAGTTCATGATTGTATGCTACTATTGAGGGTCAATATTGCCGATCTATGGTAGAGAATATTTAAAGTTTAGTGTTCTTTAAATATTTATTACAACCACTTCTAGTAGCTTTGTAATTTCACAAACAAAGCCTTCATGCAAAGCCTTCATGCCAGTCATTGAATCTGTGAAGGTTGCTTATGTTACCTTCAAGAGTACATATATATGATAAGGAAGCCAAGAAGAAGGGCAACCTCAAGCAGTCAAGCTTGTGGTAATGATTCTATTCCACATATGAAATTGCTATTTAGTCCCTAAAATCTTATTACTTCTTTCAATCATTCATTCCATTAATTATTCTAGCTAATTGCTATCTAACTTTGGTTGGGCTAGTTAACAAAGTTGAATATTAGACTAGCTGATAATTGATGCTAATCTGTTGTGAAGTCAAATTAGGGCTATGAGTTATGAGGCAGCTATATATTCAGATTTTGTATAGTCAAATTAGTCTCAACTTAGCCCTTAGCTATTGAATCTTAAATAATAACAACTAGAAACTTGAATTAAATCGAGGCTGAATCTGAATTTTAGCTTGAATTGTCATTGGTTGGTGATTAACATTGTAGATTGGGTCCTTGTTCAGCTAATTAATCCATATATTTGAAAATCTGTGTTTAAAAAAACTCAAGAAGTTTGTACAATGTTATAATTTAATTATTATTTAATAAATTGAATCATGCATTTCTCTATTATTTACATTCTCTTTGTATTGATATTGTATTTTGTTATGATTTTAGGAGAGCTTTAACATGGAGACAACCCGGACAATACTACAAGTGACGCAAGGTGAAGTGGAAGTTAATCTAGACCCATACAATCTAATTATGGAGGACAATGACAGGATTGTCACGACTATTACAGGAAATATATCCATTACGGGGGGTTTGGTGCTTGACGGTGCCATTACACGTCATCCTCCATAGCATCTATGGCAGCACATTCAACTTTGATAGAACCCATGACACAGACATCAGTACCACCTTTATTTGTGCAACCACCTGTTGTATCTCCAGACTTGGATCTCATTAATCGTGTCGCATGTTATTTGGTTGATAAGATTGATCCGACACTCTACCACCAGGTGACGACGAATCTATTCTCCATTTTGCCTCAATCACGGTTAGTGGTTGTTATTTATGAAGATTATACCTCAGTTTAGCTTGGGATCCGGATTTATGTAGACTGGTGCACGGGTATGTTTACATAAGCCTTCGTCATGGTGCACGTGGCAAAATACAAATCTTACATCTCTACGGACCTTTCACTTGCGTTAGCTTGTTTTTTATGTAGTTATTCGAACCTTTCACTTTCTTGATTTTTCAATCTTTCTTTTATGGATTATTCATGCTTACATGGCAATGCTTATCTACTTTTTGGTGTAACTACGTTAATGCAGTATGCTAGCTGAAAAAAAGTAAAAATCCAATTGGACTTAACTTGCATATTTTTTAATAGCTAATTGATCTGATCAGTCAAATCTCTAAAGTTAATTTAGTGTAAGTACTTATCTTACAAGTATATGCTATATATACAATCACAGTAATAGCTGTTAAAGGTTTGCTATTGTACAAGTTCAACAGCAAATCGACAAATTGAACACTTTTGTGTTTGTTAGAAAAACATTAAAAAATTCATTCTATAAATCCCAAAACCTTTATTCTTTGAACCATTCATGAATATTCTGTGAATCTACTAATACGTAACCTTTTGCAGATGCTGTGGGGAGCAATAGTGGTATGAATGATAGGCACCCAGCTGGCGAAGATAATTAGGAAGAGGAGGTGGAGCTCAGTATCTAACTGTTTATTTTCTATATTATCTATCTTGTGTGTGTGAGACATTACATTATCCGTAGGAACCTTAAACATTGCTTGTATCATGTTTATTATGACTATGATGGATTTATCACACCATGACTAATTATCTATGTGTGTATGATGGATTCGTTGGGTTTTAAAACTATGTGTGAGATAATAGTTCAAGTGATGATACATTGTGCGATAGTTATTTCAAAATTTTGTTAGTTATTGGATTGTGTTGTAAAAATGCGGGATGTGAAATTTGAAATTGTTCGATATTGTGTTGGATGTGGATATTGTTGGATGGAAATGTGATTGTGGTGGATATTGAAATATTTGATATTTTTTGTGGATGTTAAAAATATTTGATATTGGTGGTGGATTTGAAAATATTTGATATTGTGCTGGACTGTGTTGTTACAAGTCAAAAGTGAGGTAGAGGAAATGCATAATCTTTGCTGGAAACGCATGTATTTTATCCTAGATGGGCATACCCGTCTAGGATGGTGGGAAAACCGTCTAGGATACCATCCTAGACGGGTCTGCCTTTTAGGATGTTTTCAAGTACCCTCAATGGCATAGTCGCGTTTGATGGTATCCAAGATGGCTATACGCGTTATTGATGTTTGGCAACATCAAAGACGGCCTAGCCTTCTAGGATACTTCCTCAACAGTTTAGCCTTCAAGGATGTTTAAAAACATCCACGATGGCGACGCCGTCTAAGATGTTGTTCACCATCCAAGGTGATGTAGCTGTCGATGATGCATATCCATCTACGAAGACTATTATAGACGACATTGCCGTCTGCGATGTATTATCCTAGACGAATTTATCCCTGACGGTGCATCCTATACGAACAACCATCTAGAATACGCATCATAGACGGTTTGTTGCTCTACTCTAGATAGTTGTAGCCATCTAGGAAGGTTAGATCTGTACTAGTGTTTGTATAACTAGTCAAGGACTTTAAGGGTAGGTTTCCTAATTATATTAGAAGGCTACAGAGATTATATGGAGAGATTGAAAGAGAGAAAAGATTATAGAAGCTAGGATTTTTCATTGGAGAAACTCATTGGAGCTTTCTTTTTTGTTCTCTTGGTGATTTGTAAATGATGTCCATGCTACAACTCAAAGAGAATTTTCATAGTGACATCGACACCATCTATTAAAGATCATCTCAATTGTTTAAGGATGTATTTTCTTAGTACTTTTTCAACTCAATTTGATTTGTAAGTCTAGAGATCAATGTGAAGTGACCTAATTAAAATTCTCAGTCAAGGAGAGATTGAGTGTGAGAGTATATGAGAGCTGTATTTCCTTTATACTATTATGGGAACGGGAAGGATCCAATGTAAGAGCTCCACTCAACTTGGGAGTTTGGTAATTTTTCAGATAGTGGATCGATTTTCATAGGGGTGAAGTCTATGGATGTAGGCAACTTACCGAACTATGTAAAGCGTTGTGTTTTGTGTTTGATTGCTTGCTTGGTTATTTACCTTCACTTATTTAGCTGACTAGCTTTTTAAAAATAACTACTTTTAGATGCAATCATAGTCAGCCCCTTTAGGGTAGCCTAACTCGATCTCAACAAAAAGCGAAAACACTAAGCTACCTAAGATAAAAATGCTTGTACAAAAATGTAAAATTATAACCACTCCATGAGTGTTGCACTTGTAAAAGGTAGCAACAAGCCAGTCAGAATGAGCTTAACAACTAGGGGTGCTAAATCATATATGTATCCGAGAAAATATCTATAATTGTATCCGTTAGGATGCAAACATGGCTACTCAAACATATAACCGATATGATATGGTTACGGATATGGTTTTGTATTGCAATATTCGGTCGTATCCGAATATCCAAATACATATTAGTCATATTATTACAATAGTTTTAATTCTTAGATTATGGATTTTAGGATAATTTTGATGATCAAAAAGTCTAATCTTATATTTTTTGATACAATGAACAAAATAATTAATTTAACTCTTTTGTATCACATGTAATATATATATATATATATATATATATATATATATTATTATATATATATAATATTAAATATATATAAAGAGTGACTAAAACGTGTGGTGACATCTACTTTAAGTAAACATACAGATTAACTCTTATGTTAATAATAAAAATATATATATATATATATATATATTATATATATAATATATATATAATATATATATATATATATATATATATATATAATATATATATATATATATGAGAAAAATGGGTATGCTTGTACCAAGCACAAATTTTGGGCTTGGTAGTGATGTGTCACATTCCTCATCCACTCACTACCCATGTGAATGTGGTCCCATATTTTAATGAGTGGAGGGGATGTGACACATCACTACTAAGCACAACTTTTGGCTTAGGTACGCAAGCATACCCCATATTGCTCTCTTCTCTATATATATTATATATAATATATATAAGTTGTGCTTGTAGTGAGGTGGTATAATCTTCTCTACTCATTCAAATGGTTGCATATCCTCATGCACTCCTTAACCCAGTGAATGTGGTCCCAATTTGAATAAGTAGGGAATTGTGCATATCACTACCAAGCACAAAATTTGTGTTTGGTACCCATTGATGTGCCTAGGGATCATGAAGATATGAAGAGAATTTTTATATATATAAATGAGTGGCCTAAAAAGTTTGGTGGCATCCACTTAAGTTGACATAAGATCAACTATACATACATATATATATATATAATATATATATTATATATATATATATATATATATATATATAATATATATATTAATTATTATATATAAATATATATATATATATATATATATATATAGAATATATATACATGAATGCGTTTCTCATACGCACAAGTTCGTACGCATATTCCCAACCAAGTTGGGTGTTTTTTTTGCAAAAAAACCAAAGCAACAGTCATCTCATGACCCTCTCTCTCTCTCTCTCTCTCTCTCTCTCCAAAAAATCCTAGCCCTCCTCCTCCATCAAGCCCCAAAATTGGTCTGACGCCGTGACTCTCGAGCTCCTCTCTCGAGCTGCCCCAAATCCGGCAACTTCGACGAATTCACCAACTCTGCCTCCCTCCTAACGTCACCCCCATCTCTAAGTGAACACCGTCGAGCTCCCTCAATCCTCCCGATACTCCCTCGACAGATCTCTAAGTAAACTTCCCCAACTCCGTCGACTTCCCCCTCCTCAGCGACTTCCCCCCCCTCCTCCTGCCGCCTTCCCCCAACTCATCCTACACCGACTACCCCCAACTCCGCCGATCATGACCGATCTCCCTCGAGCTCGATCTCGAGATCCCCCAACTTCACATTGATCGGGTTCATTAAAACTACTTTGAAAAGTACAAGAACTATGCACACTAAAACCATCACCTATTATATTACTACCTATTAAATTACCTTTCTTAGTGAAGCTCATTACAGCCATGCGGCTACTAAGAAATTGGACAATTTGCTCATTAATGCTACACAATCCATTTGTAAACATCGTCCTTGTTTCTTCACATACTAGGGCCTTGCGTCAACTAAATCCAAAGACGATTGGATAAATTGACTGCTCGTTAAAAGATAAGAAGTGTCAGGGAATATCTGCATGCCTTTATCATCATCCACTGTCCCCGATTTTGTAGACTTAGTCTACCTCTTTAATATGTATTTATCGGGTAATATTTCAGCATCAAATTTCATTAAATATGAGATAATGTGCGTACATGAGATTCCAGCGCTTTCGAACTTTTTACAACTACAAGAAACCAAATCCAAGTCCTTGTCGTAAATGATTTCGTGGATTTTACTTGTTGCGAGCTTCTTTCTTTGAATTTGATAAACATGATGATTGCCCTAACAAACTGCAACTTGTAGTTAAAGCTGTCACACACTTTAGCCTCAAACTTGTAATATATCTCATTCATGTAAATATCAACCATTTGCTCCAAAAAATCGTGATTTATTCTAAGTTTAGGTTTCTCAATTACATCTTTGTGATCGGCCATCAACTCCTCATGACGTTGGTGCACTAGTCCCCTACCAAACTGTATCATAAAATCCACCAATGAATTATTCTTCAAAACGAATTTCTTGAAAAATGCATGTCCACTTTCTGCTCGTTGACTACTTGACATGTCAACTGAGAAAACGTGATTAACATATGCAGGAATCCATCTTGACCGTAATTCATATTGTTCTTGCAACCACTTGTTTCCTTCTAATCCACTTTTCTTAATCAGACTTTCCCATTGTAAATTAAATTCTTGAGGAGTCTCCGATTTCCAAATGCAAGCCGAGAACTCACTCTTATAAATACTATACTTCACTGCATCAATTTTCTCAGAAAACTTCATTAATATATGCCGGCTACAATACCTGTCAAAAGAATTAAATAAAGTGTTATACTTCCAAATGAGATGAGTAGATAGAAAAAAACCGATGATAGTGCTCACGATTCGAAAATTATCAATAATATATACAAACTATAATACCTGTGAAAAGTATTTGGAAGAACTTGAGGGAATGCCTTAGTCATAGCTGGATCTTGATCGGTAATAATCATCTTCGGGGCACCACCAGACATATTTTCCAAAAATTGATTAAATAACCATACAAAATCATCATTGCTCTCATGATTCAAAAATCCACAAGCAAAAATAATTGTTTGACCATGATTGTTAACCCCCATTATTGGTGCAAATATCAGGCTATAACGATTAGTGTTATACGTAGTATCAAAGATTACAACATCACCGAAAAAATTGTAAGCCCGCCTTGAACTTGCATTGGACCAAAAACAACGAGTAATCTTTTGTTCCTCATCGGCCTCAATTTGAAAAGTAAACGAGGGATTCTTTTCTTGTTTCAATTTTAAATACTCATAAAACATTTCACCATCATGCCCCTTCATATCAGCACGTATATCCCTTCCATGATTATACAAATCTTTTTGAGTGCACCTAATATTTTCTATACCTCCAGAGTATACTCCAAGAAAACTAAATTGTTGATGCTGAGGTATATTCACCATGGAGAACTGTTTAGTTAAAGACTTTGTTGCGGCTAAAACGTTACGATGAGACCTTAAAAGATGAACCTTTGATAGTGTTGATAGCGGGTGGCTGTGCTCCTCATTAAAAACAGTAACAATATATTTTTTAGAGTTTGATTTTAAAACTGCAATTTTGGCAGGACAATCCTCAGCTAAGCTTCCTTGACGTCTTTTCTTTCCAACATCCGCGATTCTTAGAGATTTTCCTTGTTTAAAACAAACATACTCCTTTCTTCTTATTTCACCACTTCCCGGTTCTTTTTGAGTAGTCCAAGACCTTATACTAAACCCAGCTGCTTTAGCATAAGCATTGTAGAATGTCACAACATCATCTATTGTGTCAAATTCTTGCCTCTTTTATGGCCTCAACTCATCTGATACTTGAGGAGTATATATCAAATCATCATCGTCCAAGTTTACTTCATTAGCAACTCATCTGATACTTGAGGAGTATATATCAAATCATCATCGTCCAAGTTTACTTCATTAGCTTCAGTGTCCAAGTTTTCCATTTCTCACTAAAAATTGTAATTGACCTATAAATTTAACCTGTCAGGTTGTAACATATATACATGAAGCGGTAGTTTAGCTATGAACATCAACTTTGACCCCAAAAAAATATGGTTTTTCCTTCAACAAAATGCAGTCCACTGCCAAACACTCCAGAATTTTTAGAGAAATGAAAAAAATGGAGGCAATATGAAACATAAAATAATAGGAAAACTAATAAAATAAAAAAATTGTATAATGAAAAGATAAGTAAGTTCTGCAAATAGACACCAACAGTACAATTAAAGCAGGGGATAAAATGTCCCCAAATTAAAGCTCAGGGGCTTAATCAAAATGCCGAATTCAGAATTTTAGGTTATCCATAGTAACATTCATGCTCGTTCATACGAAACCAGGGCGACGAGCATCAGTTCTAATTACATAATTAAGCCAAAAGTTTCATTTCTCCTTTCAAAACAAAACTTAAACATCAAGGCTCAAAAAGAAAAAAATCAGTTCATCGAACTAAAATTGGGGTGTGATCCTTACCTGAGTTCAGAGAGGGATTGATAAAATCTCATCGTTAATGACGGAGGAGGAGGAGGCGGAGTTGTGGCTGGGGTTCGTGGCAGAGACGCGGACGGCAATCCTCCTCATCCTGCTCCCAAACATTCGCGACTACTCCAATTGGCGAACTGCTCGAATTGAAACCCAACTTCGGTGATGGGCAGATGTATAAAGGGTCGTCGAGAGATATCGATTTGGGCAACGGGTAAGCGGGTAGAGGTGACCCGAAGAAAGTCCCGACGAGGTCGATCTGTGCCTGAATCTGGGTCAAATCTCCAGCGGTCTCTATGGGGGTTTTGAGATCTGGGCTCGGGAAGCCCGAGAACGAGGCGAGGCCATCGGAGTCCGAGGTGTTGAAGGGGAACGGGGAGTTGTTGTTGAGGACAGCACCATTGGCGGAGACGATGAGCTCTTGGTGCTGGACTTGGATAAGGAGGGACCAAGCTTTGAGCTCGGCGAGGCCGTTGTTTTGGACGGTGGCCGTGGCTTTGAAGGAGTTGGGCTGGGCTTTGGGGTCCTTGAGAAGAGGATGGATTTGCTTGCGATCGGTGATGGAGTAGGATAACTCGATGCCGTTGTAGACCGGGGGTGTTTCTGGGGGCTGGGATTGGGTTGAGATGAAGAAGAGAGCGAGGAAGAGGAGAGAGGAAGAGGATGAGGAGGAGGAAGAGGAGGAGGAGGAGGGGGAGGGGGTTAGGAGCAGGATAAGTTTTTTATAAGGGAGTTTTATACAAAAAATCCCATCAACACTGGTCGGAACAGTAACTCCGGCCAAACTTAAGGCCAATATGGCGCCGGAGTTAAAAATTTATACCAATCTGACAAAACTTAAAAAAAATATACCAACTTGTCACCAAGTCTCAAGAAATTATACCAATCTGGTCATTTTGCCCATTTTTATATGATAAAAGCATACACATAACCATATAAAAATTAAAAGAGTTCATGAAAATCATTTCTAAAGATTCTTGATTTTACTCAAAAAATTAAGTTGTTTAAAACTGTATATAAAACTTATATATATATATATATATAGGGTGAGGTTCTAATAAAAACCTCCTTAGCCTAAAAACTAAAAACCATTGTGGGTCATTGGATCTATCTCATCCAATAGTTGAGATTAGAGCTTATACTGCGGTGAATCCAGATTCAATTATGATAATAAATGCCATTATTAAAGAGTGCAATAAATTTGTTTGCCATTAAAGAGTGCAATAAATGCCATTATTCTTCAAAAAACAAACACCTCACATAACTGAATCTGGATTCACTGCAATAAATGTCATTATTCTTCAAAAACAAACACCTCACATAACTGAATCTGGATTCACTGAAGTGAATCGAGATTCACTGAAGTGAATCGAGATTCACTCATACGTGTCTTTGTTTTTTCAACTGGAAATCCTCACCCTATATATGAGTGAATCTAGATTCACTATAGTGAATCCAAATTCACTCACTAGAGTGAATCTCGATTCACTGCAGTGAATGTGAATCTAGATTCACTATAGTGAATCCAAATTCACTCACTAGAGTGAATCTCGATTCACTGCAGTGAATCCAGATTCAGTTATGTGAGGTAAAACTGGATTCGCTGGAGTGAATCTGGATTCAATCCAGTGAATCTGGATTCATTGGTTGTTTGTTGCCCCTATTTATTGCACTCAGTATAATAATGACATTTATTGCACTCTTTAATGGCATTTAGTGCAATAAATAGATTTTTAGTTTTTAGGCTAAGGAGATTCTAATAAAAACCTTGAATCAAATGTTGAATCTAGAATCATGAATATAAATGTATTTCGTTTAGGATATGAATCAAATGTTGCTCCTAAATTCATTAATTTTCCCTATGCACAATGAGCTTCTAGATTTAAACTATTTGCTGAATCTAGAAATATCGACTTATGGGAAGTTATTGATTGTGCTTATATTGTGCCCACTTTAGAGATATCCAAGTGGAGCTATCATGATAATAAATGTTTACAATGAACAATCTTTTGTTAGAATTATTGCTTAATGTTTTTGACTCATCCTTTTCTAACAAATTTGTTTATTTTGATAGTGCTTACAAACTTTGAAAATTTATTGAAGCACATCAAGAGGACTTGGAGGTAATCCAACAAGCTTTGGAGGATTCTTCTTCAAGTTATGTGGAGCATCATGCACACGGCCACAATAGGATAATTCTTGTGTAGTAAGCGATTCCGATTCCGATAATGATTTATCTATTGATGAACTCTCTTGTGCATATGAGAAATTATCACATGCCTACACTAAATTGCAAATAATTTTATTGATCTCAAAAGCAAGCATGTTAGTTTAAAATCCAATCATGAGAAGCTAGCCTCCAATTTTGATATCATTTCTCAAGAAAATGTTGCTCTTAAAGAAATTAATGATATGTTAAAATTGGAAAATAAAAATTTGGCTTCATCCATTTCTAGCTTAACTTATGCTAATAAAGATGTCATGCTAGAAGTAGAATGCATTAGAAATGAATTTGTTTCTTTTAAGAATAATCATACATGCTCCACTTCTATTATTAATGATGTTGTGACCAATAATAAATTGAATCTTATGAAAAACCGCATATCATGCTTAGATTCATATTTTAACACATGCATTGATGATAATCACATTTTATTACAATTTTATACCATCATTATCTATTTTATATGAATAAATATACCACTAATAATTGCTTTTATCTTTAATTACAGGTTAATGAAGAATAAATCCTAAAAATCTCATCTCTCAACAAAGGCCCTTAAGTAAATGAAGAAATAAGAGAATTTCAAGAAGCCAAATGAAATATTTGAATTTTCAAGGGTCAAAAGCCCAAATATCCCAAAATTTCCAAAAGAAGCCAGCACAAGCTCAAGGCCCAAAGCCATCAACAAATCCCTACAAGGCTGCTGGAGAGTTGAATTTTCATTGACCGGTGCTGCATTGGATTTTCATTTGAAAATCAAATGAATCATTGTGTGCAATCTTCATGGACCGAACTCTTCATGGGCCAAAGAATTGATTGCTGCAGTGTTTATTTTCATCATATGCATTGGGTCGGACCTGCTGAATTAGCTTTTAATTTTGAAAATCACACAATGGGCCGGACCTGCTGAATGTTTTCTCAAGATTGGAGACCGGACTTGAGATGATCAAATGCCAAAAAACTTATTTGCTGCTGAGACGTGGAATTTCATTTTGGAGACCGGACTTTACTTGAAAATCAAATGAAATGTGAGTGAATGGGCTGCTGCAGATATGGCTTTTAACATGAATGGGCCGATAAATGAATGGACTGTGCTGCATTAGATTGGACCGGACTGCTGCAATTAGATTTGAATTTCTTTTAAAAATCAAATAAATCATATGGTCCTCCTATGTTGGAATAAAAAGCAAATTCAAATGTGGAGATTGCTTTTCTTGGGGCTCAAGACAAATCCAATAGCTCATATTTATTGATGATTACTATAAATAGGGGTAGAGAGTGAGGGGTTAAGCGTGTAAAAAATTTTATAACTCCTTTTGGAGAGGAGGGCTATTCTTAATTGAGAAGACCTTCCAAAAATTGTAACTTTAGTTACAATTAATAAAAATAATTTTTCTCCTCTTTAAATTTGTTCTTTCTCCTCTTTGTTGAATGATGATGATGGAGATGAAGAGCAAATTAAAGGTTTGCATTTCTTTTCTCTTTTATTTCTTTTTAGTAATTTCTTTATTATTGCTTATTAGTTAGATTTAAATTCATGCTTGTAGTGTAGATTTATTTTCTTGTCTTTTTATTTCTTTTTGCACTTTAATTTGTAGAATAGATTTATTTTCTTATATTTAATTTTTGCAATTTATTTTGTAGTTTAGATTTTTATTTTCTTTGTAATTAGATTTATTTCTTGTTCATAGTTTAGATTTTTTTTTTA